GGTGCATGTTACCAAAAACTAACCCTATCCCGAACACAGTCAACCAAGGTCATTTCCCCGTAGCTGTGATCGCAGCCCAGTAATTTATAATTATTAGTAATAATAGTAGCAGAGCAGAGGTACAGAGGAGGGCAACACTGAGCATAACTATTATTATAACAATTTTCAATAGAAACTGGCTCTGCATGGATCGTAGTAGCTCGGCACTCCCCGTTTTCCTCCTTCTTTCCCTCCCTCTTCTCTTCCATTACATCTCATTTCCATTCAATTCCATCCAGTCCTCATATGCTGCGAGACGAATCCAGAAATATACATACACATACGAATATACAAACATAGATACACTTATAAACATACACATGCAAATATAGACGCACAAACATACACATACAAACATACATACACACACATAATAACAGACAAACTAGAAATCGATAAAATACCATTAATTTTCAAGTACTGCACCGCTCGTAAGCTCTCCCCATCTGACACGACAACACAGCATGAAGTAAATGTTGAAAACATATTTGTAATGTAAAATGTATGCTCCAACAAAGGCAATAAAATGAGGCATCGTGCGGAGCGGGGACGAAGGGTGCAAAATTCGTTTCTTCCGTAACAAGCCGATCAGGTTGGATCTGTGGCGAACAGCTCAATACTGCCTATTTCTAAAATTTCAGCTTCCTTCCAGTTATTGGAGGAAATGGGGGTTAAAAAAAAGAAACAAGTGTGGTTGTGTCAACGACCTGTTCTACCCAATTCATCCAGCATCACAGTTCTAAAGGCATGACTCCTGCGTCGTCGTAAAATACTTGGGAGGGGCAAAAAGCATCGATAATTTCGTGGAATTGGTAGTTCCAATTTTACGTTCATAAACACGTACATACGTAAATACACATGTAAAGTAAATCCAAAAATATGCATTTGCAAATGTGCATACTTAGACGTGTACAAATGAATAAACACATGGAACGTCGAGAAATTGTAGTGAATAGGCGAAAATTGTAACCACTGAGAAGACGAAAATTATCTGGACAACATAGGGGTCATAGCCTGGGCAGGAGAGCAAAGATTCGGTTTGAAACAAGATGCAAAAATGAGTGGAAGGGAGCAAATTTTGTCTAAAAGGACATCATACTTGAAACATGTCGCAAGCCAGGTTTATAATGATCTACGAGCTGCAATTCTGGAAAATGTTTTTTACCGAAAACCTGTCTGCAGCAAAAAGTGAACAGAATTACTCATCCAGATATGGCAAATGCCACCGCTCTATCAAAAGAGTACCATTACTGACAATTTCTTTGTCCAAATCTTTATAAAAAGCACTTTTTTAAAAGATTACCGAGCCTTTGGCAGCTATTGACACCATTTGCATTAGCGCAATGAACATTAAAAACATCCGCATCTTGGAAGAGCAGCATCGAGTTATCCAATAAGCTGGGATCAGTCCTTTCCTCCGCATCCTTCCTGGTGGAAGCATGAGACGCCTTTTCGCTTCCATCCACTCCAGTGGCACGTCGTTCTTTCAGTACCTAAATTCACTGATATGAAGTATAGCGAAGGTCTTACAATCCTCCCCTTGACTAAAAACCAGGAGGCAGACCTTTTATGTATAGCAAAATCAGTGCCAAGGGCTTAAACCTTCCCATCATACCTATTTCAGCATTGGAAGAGACATAGTCTGGTTGCTGTGCGAAGAAGTAAAGACGAATTCAGAAGAGGGAGAGAAAGGAGGGAGGGGGAGCAAATACCGAGGGATAAATATAATTTATTGAGTGAAATAATATTTTTAGTGTATCATGGCATCCCCATACAGGACTGGAAAGGTGGTTTGAGAATATGGAGCTGCAGACGATAAGCTTCGCTGACAGCTGTTGGGGCACAGCCCTTATCGCAAGTGTTTCCCGTCGAATGAAGATGACGCACGAGCCT